ACATATCACACATGGTAAATTAGTAATAAATTTATATATAGTAGAACCTCATCAAAAAATTGTTCCCTATATTATTTTCCCGTATATTACGCTATTTTACACATGTCCCTACTCTTTGAAACAATTTGACCCTATCTTCCCAGAAAGATCGTCTTAACGAGCTTTTACTGATAATAGACTTTTTGATCAGATATTTCTGAAAATTATGCATATGGTTTGATTGGAATAGAACTTTGTAACTGTCAAAAATTGTTTCAAAATTAATTTTATAAACATAACATATAATATGTGGTAAATTAGTATTCAAACATAATAGAACCCCATTAAGACAATCACCCTTAATATTGTTTTTCGTCATTTTGCACCTGTTTCTAAACTTTGAGACATGTTGACCCTATATTCCACGAATGATATATGTCTTAACGACTTTCGAGGTTTTACTGATTACAAATTTTTTGATCCGATATTTCTGAAAATTATGCATAAGGTTTATTAGGAATAAAGCTTAGTAATGGTCAAAAATAGTTTCAAAAGTATTTTTTTTTAAACAAACCATATAATATGTGGTAAATTAGTATCCAAACATAATAGAACCCCATTAAGACGATCGCTCTTAATATTCTTTTCCCGTATATTACGCCACTATAAACCTGTCTGAACACTTTGAACATATTGATCCTATCTTTCGAGAAAGATCGTCTTAACGAGGTTTTACTGTCTTTAGATTATTTGATAAGATCATTCTGAAAATTATGCATGTGGTTTATTTGAAATAAAATTTTATATAAACTTTGAGCAATTTGAACAATTAATGTCATATAACTTTAATCTTTTTATAAAAAAATCATCATATTATTCATTAGTATATATATGCCTTAACTTACGATGAATTTTATTTTAAAATGTTTTAATATGATAGGTTGAAATTTTTTAAACTATAATGATATATATTTTAGAACTTAATTTAAAATTAAAACATGATTAATGAAAATATCTTAGGATTTATACTATTTTGCTAATTAGCCAGGAATTTGCTACTAAATTATCAGGCCAGTTATTATTTATTAGAATATTTATCTAACTAGTTTGTTAGAAATTAATCTTTTCTTTATTTGTCATTTTTAATATTAGAATATTTCGAGCAACACTTAAAATTGAGCAGCAACCAATAAACATAATGTAATTAATAATTTAATTTTAATATTGTTTTCAATAATGAATAAATATAATTTTAAAATACACGTTATGTATATAAAACTATTTGACTTTAAACGTTTTGCAGTCAGAATTTGGCAGCTCTTACGATTACAAAGCAACCCAATAGTTTTCCTATTCTATTTTTAATGTATGTTTATTACAATCCAACATTTGTCCTTTACAAATTGGAATGAATTTTTTTACTTTTGGAAGCAATTTTCTGGAAGGTTATTAAATAGCCTTTCGGAACATTATAAAGTGTAAATTTTACACTTTATCAACAATTTGATATTATATTGTAGACAAATCGGAATTTGAACTCAAAACCTTGTGGTGGCAATATCGCAGCTTAATCAGTATCAACGCATACTACCCATATTTCATTTATAAGCGCAATTGCAAACAATAAAAGCTTATCAATGTGTACTAATTTCAAAATATTTATATTACTGTATATTGCAGAAAATATATGAATCATAATTTGCACCAGAATTGTTTGTGGAACTTAATTATTAGGTTCTGAGAAATATTATTCATGGAATTTTATAACATATATTCGTGTCGTAGAAATTTTCAGAAATAAATATAATAAACCACGAAGCGTGTTTCAAGTTTGTTTTGATTTGGTAATTAAACGACTATTGTTTTATATTTGTTTTTCTTGCCAAGATTCTTTGTTCGCCATGTAATTAGATTGGAACTTTATATATCTAGTATACAATAAGCCTTATAAATTAATCTTAGGTACTGAAAAATTTGACTTGATTATTATAATATACTATTAGTAAACTTTTCTATCACCATCACTAACTAAAATACAATTAATATAAATAAATGTTTTAAATGGATATCTAATAGTAAACGTTTTAATTGTGAAGTTTTAATTGGCTTAATTCTACGTCGGTTTTACCTATGGCAACCCAAACAGTTTTCTTATCCTTATGTGTTAGATTTTATCATTACAATCTCTGTAATAGGGCGAATATTTTTATTGGGGATTATTTTCACTTGAAACCATATTGCTGTACTGAAAACCGATATCACTACTGCTTGACATTAGGCTTTCTTAATTGGGATCGAACCAAGGACCTCTAATTCAAGTCCAGTTCCTCTAGTCACTTACTCACTAATTAACATTGAATAAAAGTAAATTTTTATCAACCGATTGTTTTTGCTGTTTTCTAATCTTGTCATCTATTTTGAAGTTAATTGTTTATCGACAAGGTTCCACTAAATAATGTGGCCACTTTGTTGTTTTTCTATTCTGGAGTTGTAAATTCAACTCTGTTTGATGGTAAATATATTTGGTTCTTTTTTCTGAACCAAACTCAAAATAGACTCTGCTCCTTGGCACACCGCCTGCTGCGTGCGTACGATGTAACTAATTCAAGGAGTTACTAATAAAGGAGATGACATTTGGAAAAAGGATAATATGATAGTGATAGTGTGTTTTTTATATATTATTTTTTGAGGATAAAAATGAATATATTTATTCAATCACTTTTTTAATAAATTTTAATAAAAAATAGTGGGGTGTATGGCATCGTGCCTTAAGGCAAATTGCCGGAACTTCCCGTACCGTAACGAAATGATCGAGGAATATTAAATGTTTTAAAATAGATTATTATAAATACTGTAACATTGTCGAATATTTATAAAAATTATATAAACTAATTTGGAAAGTTGAAATTATTTGTTTAAAGTATATTAGAACAGAATTAAAATAAAAATCTGAATTATTTTCGATATACAAAAAAAAAAAAAAAAATTGAAGCAAATTTATTTTTCCAAAATCAATCATTTTGTTTAAAAAAGCAGAAAGTTTTTGAAAACATTTAAATCGGACGCTTAGTTCACTCAAAAACTGCCATTTTTTGCACATTTAGCTCTGTATCTCCGAAACCGCTGGACCTGCCTCTGCCAAAAATTAATCACGCCTTCTCCCCGTCGTTACGAATTGAATGTTTATGGGATCATTCAAATCCGATGCTCCGATCTCTCAAAAACTCGGTTTCTATTTTCTGCACTCTTTGCTTCGTATCTCCGTAACGGCTAGACATGCCTTTGCCAAAACTAGTCAGCTCTTTTCCCTATCGATAGGAATCGAATGTTTTTTTGAACCATTCAAATCGGTTGACCCGTGCGCCCGAAGCAGTGGACGAAAAATTGTATCCATACATACATACACACACTCACACACACATACACACACACATACACATCCTTTTTTTTCTGAGGTATGCCAAAATGTTCAAAAACGAAACGTTTCGATTTTCGATTTATTATAATAACTTACCCTACGGGAAGTTAATAAAATTAAATCTATAATAATAATAATCATATATTACTATTATATAAGAATATTTAAATAGGGATAATATTCGAATAATATATGATTATTATTTGATCAACAATATGAGTTTTTGGCGATATAAAGATATCCTTGGTATTCATATTCAAAAAAAGATGGCATTTTGTATTGAATCACACTTCATGAATAAGAGAACCACAATATAAAATTTTAAATTTTATTACATTATATTCAAAAAATCTAATTTATCTTCAACTCTAATAGTTTAACTATTACTAAAGTGTGATTGTTTTAATGAGTTCAATTTGAAATTATTTTTATTTAAGATATATTATTATTTTGTGATGCTCTTAATGATCCAATTTAATAAGAGTTCAATTCAGTTTTATTGGTACATTAAAATATGCGTGGAAATGTATACTACTTTATCCAGTAACACAATGTCTTGTTTTTAACTCTCGATTACTTTTAGTGATTTGTATAATTATGTACGAAATGACAATTGAAAATGTATTTTTATCGTATATTGTATTGTAATTGTATATACATTATTTATAGTTTTATTGAGAATTTATTATAATGTACCTTACATATATTATCATTAATACCATATCCAAATTTTAAATTTTTTTGTTCAATTTTGACATACTTCTTTGACAAAATTTGCGAAATCATTAACCATAGGGAAAAATTGTATTCGTCGAAAAATCGAATTGAAAATTTTTACATTTCTTCACGTTTTGAAGGTTCCTGAATACTTTGGCGTACCTAAGAAAAATTGATATGTTTGTTTGTGTGTATATATGTATGGATACAATATTTCGTCATCGTTTTTGGGCGCACGGATCAACCGATTTGAATGGTTCAAAAAATATTCGATTCCTATTGATGTGTTTGAAAACATTTAATGATCCTCCAATATTTCATTACGATACGGAAAGTTGCAGCAATTTGCCTTAAATCACGATGCCAAACACCACTAGTTTTACATATTGATATGGTTTATTAGTTTTATTCGTTCAGTATTTATAATTCATGCGAATTCAGCATATTACCCATAATATTGTATCAAATAAAAAATGTAATGTTTTGGATCACGTATAGTGCATATTATTAAACACTCAAAGTGAAAATCATTATTGATATTTAATCCCGAATATGTGGCGTTTAAATAGTTTAACAGTTTCTCCTGCAACTACCTCCTTGTTTTCAGTGCTCACGTATGTTTGGTTTCGGATGTGTACCGAAGTCAGTTAGTTCAGTATGTATATTTACGTATCTCAAGAATCTTTTACTTATTAGCATTTGAAAGATGTTCTTGTTTGGCTCTCTAAAGTCAAACACAGAGTTCGTACTTCGCATTTATCGAAGATTATCTTTAATGGAAACCTTCTCTTATAGAAGACAATGTTTACAGTGGAAAGTTTAGAACGATGGTGTTAGTGAGTTGAAATTAATTTTTGCCAAATAATGGTAAACGTGACACTCGGTTGTGACAGCTGGAAAAATAATTTAGTGAATAAGTTGTTTGTTGTGTGCAGTGTGGTGAATTATTAAGGTTAAATTTCATGATAATTGTATTTTTTTTAAATTATTATTTGCACCTATTTCATCCTGGACATCAGCAAATTTTCTGGTTGCGCTTAACCCGGACGCCAATCTATTGATTGGGCGTTCGAGTTGATAAATGCTAATTGTATTTACATTGTTTTTTAAATTTGGTAGTGTTGAGTTCTATAAGTTTTGGTACATCAATATAAACAAATTCCACTTAGCTGTTTTAATTTCAATTTAATTGTTAGCTTGAATTTGCAAATAGCCACACAATGTCCTTAGTCATTTAATTTTATGTACGCCACGTCCGGTAAATTTTCGAATTACAAGAAAATGTTCCCATTAGATTTCTTAAAAACAACTTTAAAAATAACCTGCACATCTGGCTTGTGTTAGTGCCAAAATATGTTCAAAAGTATTTCATATAATTGTCGAATAATATTAATGATATATTATTATGTTAAAGTATATACTGATTGAAAACAAGTATAAATATTAGCTTTTAATTTAAAATGTCTAGAAATATCGAGTGTGTTCATTAAAGTATTGCATTTAATATTTGAAAGTAGTATACAAATAAAAGGTAGAACTAGGTGTAAGTGATATTAAACCCAAGTTCTATTATCTTCTGTAGAATCCCTGTAGGACTTCATTTTTTTCTATTCCCTCCTGAATATCAGCAAATTTTTGGTCGTACTTAAAAAAAATGTATAAATAGATTGCCAATCTATTAATTGGACGTCCTGGTATGATGTAGGGCTTTATATTATTAGAATTTATTGCAGAATTCACTATTTTACACAAATTTGTTAAAATGTTATGAATAATTTTAGGAAAAACAAACACGTGCTTAGATCATGCTCTTTGTATCCCTTAAAAGAGCGGCCCATTATTTTAAACTTTATTGCATTTGAATATTTTTTGTAGATCTACTATAATTTAGGAACCATAACCTCTATCACTGTGCAAAGTTCCATAAAAATAAATCAACAGTAAATTACGAAGAAAGGGCTCGGCTGATCTTTACCAAAAACTAATCAGGACGATTCCCAATTGATATTTTTTGTAAGGTTTTCAAATTTTTAGATTCGGCTTAGTATATTTGGGCAAAAACATAGAAGATCATTTTTGCACGTATCTGCTACTTATAAAGAAACGGCTTGACCGGTCTTGAAAAAAAAAAAAACTGAAAAAAGCTTTACGTTATATGATCTTCCCGATTAGTGTAAATAATCGACTTAATCAATCAAAAATAAATTAATTTATGAGTGAATAAAAGTATTCCGAGCGGATTTATTACACATAATTGAAAACGAACGAACACGTTAATTGGAGTATTTTCTAGAAGCAAATTTTCAAAAATAAATAAATTTTTAATTGAACGAGTTTCCGTAAAACTTTAATAATACGCTTATTAAGACTAAGTACTCTATCGTTATACCAAGGGAATCGTCTAATTTTAATTCTAACAAACGTCAAAAAAACTACTCATTTTCTCAAATTTTGATGGATTTTTAAATTAAACTACTTGTCGTAATGCCGTAATAATCCCAGTAAGTTATATAAGACCATGGTATATATCACCAAAAAGTTCCATAAATATTGGCTTAAATTTTTTTTTCACAGTTTATTTCAAGAAAACGGCTGGGTAGATTTTCACAAAAAACTTATCAGTATTATTCCCAGCTAATATCTTTCGAACAGTTCGATTTTTAAAATCGATTCAGTAGTATGAGCTTAATGTGGACAAAAAGTTTAACACTTTTTGCAAATTTCACAGAAACGGCTCGGCCGATTGTCGCACAAAACTACAAGCGATAATCCTCATTGAACACATCAAAAAGTTTTTTAAATTTCTGAAATCGGTTCAGGCGTCTTTGAGCAATCGTCGATGAAAGTTCTAATTTTCACAAAAAATCTGTTTGCACACACGCACACACACATACTTTTTTCAAATTTGGTCTCATTCGATTCAGAATGGCTTGAAAAGTCGAGAAAACATAAAATTAGCAAATCGGATTTTTTTATGAAAACATAAACTTCTCCTTCGGGAAGTTAATAATTTAGTTGAACGTTCGATTAAAATTTGCAAGTGTTCGATTAAACATGCATATATTTATTATGAATAAACAACCTTGGATTTTATTTAACCGTGTATCGATGAAAATCAACACTTTATTCAAACCAGTGATTCATAATACATAAATTCCATAACAATGTGTTCCATTGGTTATTTTATTGCGGGATTTAAGTCAACAAACTGAAACTTGCAAAATGCGTGGCAGCACTTATAAAAATAGTTTCGATTTGGCTCTTGGCAGTGCACAACGTTGTGTAATGTGCGTGTTAAGTAAAATAGTTTGAATATTTAGAACATTCTTGATATTAGTGGATTAAAAGTGAAGATTTCATAAAAATTGGTTTTAAAAAAATAGACTCAGAATTATAGAATTTTATGCTATAAATAAGCTATAAAGATCATCATGCTCTAATGAATTTAGATATGCTAGATTTTTTTAATTTATACTTGATATATAAGCTTTTTTTTCTTTTAATTTTTTAATGATTTGTAATAGAACCAATTTTAAACATGAAGAATACGTTTAAAGAATTTTACTAATAGTCAAATTAATTGAAGAATATTTGTCTTAATTTTATTTTCAAATATGCAATTTGTTGATTCATGATGTATGTCATAATTGTTTTTAATGTTATATATTTATTAAATTGCAGCTTATTTAATTTATTTGCTGTAAGAATTTAACAAAGTATTTAAATAAATTTACTGTAACAAATTATACCAAATAGAAATGAATCTTGGCGCAACATAATTTTTTATGTGTAGCCAATATTGTTTATCAATATTTTTTCACATATAACCTATATTGAAATCCAATATGCGCACCATATGAGCCCAATATTGGTAAACAATATTTAACTTCTATTCAAAACTAATAAAGACTCTAAAATAAATAAGCAATATAATATATAATTAAACAATATTTACCCCATTAATATAAAAACGTATTAGTTTCTATGATTTTTTTTAAATATGCAAATTTTCTTTCAAGTTTCTTAAATGTTACTAAGAATGTTACAATTATTTTGAATGCTACTAATTAACATCTATCAATTGATCATTTTATTTAAATGATTGGCAATAATCATTTGGGAAATCCTCCAAATGGATTTGCGCCTCTGATTTGTAATATTTATAGAAATACATCACGAATTATTATTATTCTTAACACTGGCACTGAATTATCGATATATACTGTAGTTATAATTTCTATTTATGGGAAAATTGTTTATAATATTTTGCTCCAAAATAAGTAAGTTTTTTGATTGTGTTTACAATACTTACTAAAGAAATATTAATTTCCGAATGCAAAAATCTCTTTTAAAACAATAGTTATTAATAATATATTATTACGAAATCGTTTAACGTGTTACATAAACTGTTTAAAACACGATAATTTTCATATATATATATATATATATGTATATTAGGGTAGTCCTTAATATGGACATTGTCGAATTTCCTTGCTCTCAAGGGCTCAAATGGTTTCAAATTAATAAAAAATAATACTCTGAAAGTTTTAGCTCTTAATATTAACTTTTAGATATTGCGCAATTCAATCAAACTTCAAATCAAATCAATCAAATTAAAAAAAAAATTAGCTTTAACTTAGCCTCAAATTTTGAATAAAACTCATTCATTTGTTCAAATTATATCTAAAAACATTTTTAAAATTTTTGAAAATTTTTTCATGCTATTTCCATACAAAACTATGATTGAATTGCTATCTAAAAGACAATATTAATAGCTAAAACTTTTAGAGAATTGTTTTTTATCAATTTGGAACCATTGAGCCCTTGGGAGCAAGAAAATTTGAAAATGTCCATATTAAAGGACCACCCTAATGTATATATATATATATATATATATATATATAATATCATATATTAATGAATAAATACATACATATAAAAATTTACATCTTAAAGTATGACACTCTTGGTTAGTAATTGACTACTTATTTTTTCCTAAAGTATGGTGTTCCTTGTTTTTAATTGAATTAAAATTTATGGATTTCTAATGTAGAGCTAGCTGAAAAGTAGCTCAACTATATATTCAATTAAATCGATTAAAGAATATGTTTAAAATTGTTTTAAATATTGATCTATACAATGTGTAGTAATAGTGCAAAATAGTACGACAAAGTGACAATATGCGATCAAAATATCATTGGACTGCTTTAAGTGCCTTAGTGTTGTGTTCGATATCAAACACAATATTTGCCATAGGACACTCAGACTTTACGAAAAATTATCAGTATTATCCGAAGGAATCTTCCTCGGAAAATGAAATTTATTCCAATAACCAAGTATTATCAAACTTTGATGATTTTTTGACAATAGTCGATGATTCCAAAAGTGAAAGGACTGAAAATAAAATAAGTAGTTCGTTTAATATTAATAGTGAGATTAATAATGATATCCAACCAAGCCAAAGTAGTTTCAAAAATATTTTAAATAATTTTGAAAATGACCCGAATTTATCGCAAGTGCTGCAAGATGATATTTTATTGGGAATTCTAGATAAATGCTATTGTGAAAAATATTGGAAGACCTCAGGAATCCGTTTCTGACAACAGAGGTAAAAGGATTAAAAAATTTAAACGATCCGTCAAAAGCGCAAAAAACAAAGACAAATCTTCTAGAAATGCTTCTTTATCTGGTTCCAAAAGTGGTAAAAAATTACCAGCTTCAAAATTAAACACACGTAATAAAGATACTAGTATTAATATTAAAGTTGATTGCAACAAAACAAAATTAGAACCGCCTTTATTGGAAAACGAGGATGCAATAAACCAAATGTTTAAGAATCATGCTGTACTCGCCGATATCATCAGCAATTCTGAAAATGCAGGCCCCATTGAATTAAATACTAGAAAAACACGAGCCAGATTCTATTCCAATCCTGGCCACGATGATGAATCTGTGTCCGCCTTTTCGACAGGAAATTCATTTAGGGATCGGTTATCATTTGGGGATTCCTTGAATCCAAATCAGTTTTCGTCAAATTATCCTTATGGGATTCCATCATCAAATCAGAGACAAAATAATGCTGATGATGCAGAAGGAGTTAACTTCAACTATGCAGAAGGGCTGACGCCGACACGGATTGTGAGGCTGAAACAGGGCCTTGTACAAGGGCAAATCGTAGAAGCAAAAATGCAACATGCCCTACCAGGCGTGGAAAGGTATCTGGGATTGCCGTATGCAGCTGCTCCTGTTGGCGGATTAAGATTTATGCCTCCTGGTAAGTAATAGGATTATAGAAAAATAGACATATACTCGTACAGTAGGGGGCGTCCATTAATCACGTGAGCAAGTTTTTAAGCATTTTTGGACCCCCCACCCTTCGGAGATACATGTTGATATCCAAAATTACCCCCC